TATGGCCTCGTTATTCTTCATATATGAGGTTTTAGTGGAAGCGACTGGTTCTTACCCAGATAAGAAACAGCAACTGGAGCGATGTGCACTGTCATAAAAATGTCTAGTTTGTTATATTTAGATCTTTGCGAGTGGTTGCCATGTTCAGCATGTATGTTGCTCCCTCTGAGGATGTTGTTTTGTTTAGGTAAGAGCATTTAAACTCCAAAAACAATCGACTGTAGGAGAAGAAACGTGTGATATGATGGTGATGGCAGGTTTATACCTGAAATCTACAGCTGGTGAGTCAGACCAGCTGAACAGTTCAGAAATGTTTTTAATAATTCAAAATGCATCAAAGTATAAAACTCCATGAGTGAAAACCTGCAGTACCACACAAAGATTAAGACTGTGTGTCACAGAGAGCCTGTACGTACTTGTCATCAGCTCAGTTTTGATGGTTATGTCTGAAGAAGGTTTTGAATCTGAGGAGGAAAAATACAAAATGATTAACAAAATGATTATGTTCAACTAAAAACATAATATGATCTGTTGATGTTGATGATAGTGTTAAATACAAACAGCATGAACACAAACGCAGGCACGAGGGGAAAGTTTTCTCAGTTGCAGGAGGGTTCATGGTTCTGTTTCTGTCACTTGAATATTTAACTTTTTAAAATATGTGAGCACTGTTTCATTGTGTAGGTCAGAAAATTTTGCAGTGCTTATAAAACATATTTATGTGAGCACTACAGAAATCTCAGTTAGTGAACATGGAGAAAAGTTTATTGGGCAACATCCAGGAAGAAGAAGAAGAATGATGAGGATGTGTGGTGGTGAAAAATGACAGAGAACAGAATAAATGAAGATCCTGAAGAGTTCAGGGAAACGTTGACGCTAAGAGACGGATGAGCATTTGCAGACAAACAGATTAAAGTAACAGGACCTGCAGTGATTCACAGATTTAGTTTGTTACTGTAAAATATTACTGAACATACTGAACAGAGACAGGGCCGTCTATGTTTCCAAGGTACTTGTTTTTATTACTGATGCTTTAATTATTTTGTTCTGTTTAGTGCTGTGTAACTATAAACTATTATAACTGACTATATGAACACATGGTTTGAATTTCTAACCTTCTACTTTCATATTTAGAAAATGTAAAAATAAAGCCACTATGTTACAATTTTTATGAGGATACAAAAAAATCCTCCAATCCAGCACAAACAGACACACCTGAAGGGCTCCTGTCAGGATCATCTTCAGGTGAAGTCTTCATGTCTACAACAATCATACCAGACAGACAAAATCAAAACATAAAAACTTCAGCAACCAGCTGAGCTGCTCTGTGGTGATGCTGTTGTTAATTTCCAACATCTGCTTTGTTTCCATGCATTTAATTTTAGTCTCTAATTCACATTCAGTGAAACAGATTTTGATGTGAACAGGTTTCAGCTCAAAATGTCTACATGAGAATTTTACTTACAAGGTTTAGAAGGTTTAGCTGTAAATAAAAGAAAGAATCACATGTCAGTGATCATAGCTGTAAATACAGGAACACTGATCCCTACACCACTAACTCAAACTGGTTTACAAAGCTCTCCATGTTACTTTACCTTTTACTTTATTTACTATTGGTTCCTTCTCTCACTGTGATAATACTGTTACAGTCTCATCACTCTGGGGCTTTAAACATCATTGCTGTACCAGGACCTGAAGCTTGTTTTAATGTGCAACCTGGAAAAACACTAAAAATACTGAATTCATCACTTTGGTTCACTCACCAGTTTTCTTTTTGTAAATA